ATGGCGTATTGGAAATCATACCTTGGTGGGTTCCAGGGCTTCGGGGATCAGTTCCACGTCGCTTCCGGTTACACGCCATACGAGACGACACGTCTCACGAAGATCATGCCCGTGAGAAGACGAGGATCTGCATTTGCTCTGTCGACAATGGCCCATGCGGCTTGGGCAATCTCCCTTGCGAATGTGTATCGGCATAATGATATCCTCTTCATGTCAGTCGCGTCAGGGCGTCGGATGCCGCGCGACAACCCTTTACCTGGAGTCGAATCGATCATGGGGCCACTCGTGGCTGGGACGTATCTCCGTCCCCGGCTCCGTGCTGATCAGGCAATCGAGGACCTACTGCGAGACACGCAGGACCACATGTTATCGACGATTCCATACCAGCGCGAAAGCCGCAGAGTCATAGCGGAGATTTTGGGTCCGCGGGCTATCTGTCTGTCAGCCTTAAACTGGCATCCTATGGGTAACGATATGCCGGCACGCGTCATTGACTTTGAGAATCCCGATGGATCTATAACGCGACTCGAAGGACGGCGCGATCTGCACACCCCCTTCACCATTCCAATCACGCTGGTCATTGATGTCTGGGAGCATCATGACCATCTCAGGATAATTGCCAAGTGGGACGAGAAGCTCTACGACAACGACCGTGTGGCCTTGATGCTGGATCAGCTGGCGGAGAACCTCGGTAGAATTGCCGCATCCAAAGTTCAACGTGTGGGGGATCTCTGGACGATGCGGGGTTTGTCGGGCAACGGGCCGGCAGATGATCGGGGGCTCGATGACAGAGACAGGTCTGTCCCGGCCCAAGAAGCCCTAGTCGACAGCTCTCCGCCCGGGACAGAAGTTGGAGACACGCTTGGCACAGGGGCCAAAGGAGATTCAGCCACCTTCACTCCTGGAACCACCGGTCAAGGCATCTCAGTCGAACACCCCTCCAACGACAACGCAAGTCCCAAAGTCGCGACACCAATCCTCGATATCCCTCACTCCGACTCAACCACCAACGTCTCCATCATCAACGGGGAGTAACTTCAGGGTGCTGGCGTGTCTAGAGAGAAAATCATTAGGATGGTGAGATATGGGTGGTTTAGTCATGCTATAGTCTAGTTCTTGTACTGCAGAATTTCGTAGACTGGTTCATCCCCGAACATGCCTCCAGATCTTAGAAAGCTGAATATTTGTTGTCGTCTAGAATGGGCAGGACATCGGGGCCAGATACGCCAAGCACTGTGAAGAGCCTCCTAAGGAGTTTGAGCCACGACCTGACAGACTTGTAAAATATACGCAAAGCTCACTTTTAGAACGGCGAGGAAAGCCTACCGGACAAGCAGACCTGCTCCGATAAGACGTATCCACAGCACCCTCCTCCTGCACCCATGCCCACAGAATCCTCTCTCAGACCCCCTCACACCACATCCACCGCCCCAGCCGCACTCCCATTCCTCCCCACCCCCACCCCATCCAAATCCGTCGTAACCACCCTCGTCCAAGCCCCCACATACACAAACCCCAACCCGGGCCCCAAACCCTGGAACCGATAAAACGGCTGCTGCGCCGTCGGCGCCGGCGGCGAAGACGGCCAGTAAAGCAGCACGCCCTCGCAGAGCCGGTAGAAGCCCCATTCGCGGGCGAGCCGCCACGCCTCGTCGAGGTCCAGGCGGACGTCCAGGTGCATGGCGCCCATGTCGGCGGGGACGTCGTCGGGGGAGAGGACGGGCGGGTCCCAGACGGACCAGACGGGGGTCATGTCGACGTGGAGGCTGCGGAAGGCGTGGTGGGTGGGACCGTCCCGGATGCTGAAGACGATGCGGACGCGGGTGAGGGAGGGGAGGGAGGCGGTGGGGCCGGTGGGGGAGGAGGCGCGGACGAAGCGGAAGGTCGCGGTGGGGTGTTTGGCGATTGTTTTCAGGACGGCGGAGGTGACGGTGTTGAGGAATGATGGGGTGTCGGTTTTGGTGGTGGTGGTGTTGTTGTGGGGGGGCGAGAGGGGGAGGTTTGAGGTGGTTGGGTGGAGATCAGGAGCTGGGGAGAGGCTTGGGGTGAGGAGGATGTTGGGGATGTTGCTTGCGGTGACGAGGAGGGTGATCGGAGGGAGGAATAGGAGGCTAAGGAGTGGATGCATGGCTTGCAGATGACATGCAGAGACTCGTGGATAGAGGGGTTCGTGCGACTGTGCAGTGTGAAGGACATGAAAACAGAAGTCGTGATGTCCGCAGGAACCTCTTTCCAATTGCGCGTGAATGAATACTTTTGCAATTAAGCGAGCACCGCCCAAGGCCGAGCAGTGGGGGAGAAAAACGCAAAGACCTACCCCGGATCCAGAGGTTTTGACTTTGAGAACGAGCGGCAATTACGGTTCGAAGACATTATTGGTTCCCATAAAAATTGGCTCAAGTCGCATCAGACATCGCGTAAAGATTTGGGAGTCCCAAGCAGTGCAAGCACCTAGAGGCGAACCCTGACAGCCACGGCTAAAGACTCCACTGCTCCTGCTCAGATGAACGATAGCCGAAGACTCAAGGTCCCCCAAATCTATAGCTTGAGATTCTGTGCACCTCGGACAATTCCCCAGTCTGTGCTCTGTCGATTGGATGCCGCAGCATACACGCAACGCGTTGAATACCAGCCTTATCTATGAGCTCCATTGGTCGAGATCAGTATCGACTTACTCGATGTCCTCCCATCCCAATCTTCCATAAAGCTTGTGCGCCACCATACAAGATTGCAGATATGTGTCCAGCTACTCTCTGACAGCGACGGACAACAAGTGCTGCATAAGGATTTTTCCGATGCCTTGTCGGTGATGGTCCGGAGAGACTGCTAGAGTATTAAAGTCTTGTAAACCCCCATCAGTTGAACTCACCTGACAAGGTTGCAACAAAAGATAGATGTCGATGGAGCTCACGAATATACCGCCTCCCCCTATCGTATGCACCCTTTGTTTCTGAAGCCTCCTAAAGACCGCTTGGTTGAACTGCGTCTTAAGCGGTGGCCGGAGACCCCTCGCGCTTCGGTCCCCCTGCTTCTCTATCACAGATCATGTGATGAAGCCTACGATCTCCCCCGTGGCTTCATCCAGAACCTCTTGCTCGGGTCCCCGTAGTCACTTTAATAGCAGGCCTGCCAACTCTGTTTGGAAAGGTTGAGGTCGTGGCCATGGAGAAAGATGAACCGTCAGAGATTATCAGTATCGAAGGCCAAGGCGAAGAGGCGGCCTAAGGTGGGGATGCATGTCGGAGGACGTGGTGGGCGCCAGGCAAACATTAGAACCCATGGCTCTCTATTACGGTCTCTAATGATATCTCTTTGGTATTTGATGTGGATGGAGATGATGACACATGAAGACAGGCAGAAAAGCGTTGAACTAGCAATAGGTCATGCGTTGTTGTCTGCGTTCCTTGAATATCCTGTACACTTTGCATTAAACTTGGCTGGCCTTTGAGGCTGGGTATCCTTTACCTGCTCAGAAAAAAGCAGAGTATTGTGAGACTGTATGGGAAGGTGATGAACCTGGGAGATTTTGACACAAGGAAAAGCGGTATAATACAGTAACATTCTAAAAGATTAGGCAATCAGCAGGAAACCAAATACAACTGCATGAGTGAAGCTTATGTGCCAGCACTGTAGATCCAAATTAAAAACAGTCCATCATGGCAGCAACAGATCAACGATGCCACAGCTCACAATACCCATTTCAAGAATCAACCCTGAGCTTCAGGTACACCAGGATTATCCGTGATCGCGTCCGGGTGACACTCAGCCGGCGCCAGACTCCTCCAAGGCCCACCATTCGCGCTCATGCTCAAGCACGTAAACTCGTTGACATCGCCCGTCAACGTATGTGTTGCAAAGTTACCACAGTTGGGGTCCGTGTAGACATTGAGACCGCAGTTGTCATCGCCGCCGAAATTGATGCCCACGGTATCGAAAGCGGAGTCGAACGGATAGCAGCCGGCAGCCGGAAAGCTGAGGGGTGTTTGGAGTTCTTTGCCTTCGCAGCTTGGGTGAGAGAAGATACCGATAGCCTATGCATCTATTTGAGACAAAGTCTTGCAGACGTGGGGCGAAAAAGGTTGGCTTCTGAAAAGCACTTACGGGATTGTGGGGGCCACTGTTGAGGTTGCTGCTAAGATCGCCACCGATGTTGGCATCGGCGGTGGGCAGGGCATGAGCGCCGGCGCTCAGAGCTGCAAGTATGACGGCGGAGAAGTGCATTATAATCTTCGTCGTCGAGTAAGAAAGGATAATACGATGGAAGGTGATGAGAGCGGATTAAAGTCTTATGGGCTTCCCGAGCACAATTATGGATGTCAAAGGGCCAAATGGGAGGGAAAAGGTGTGTATAAGGAATCGCGAAAGGAGGAAAGCCATCCTTAAAGGGGTTCAAACCAACATGAAACAATTGTTTCGTGACGGTTTCTCGACCTGAATCCGAAGCCATAACACGGATCAGAGATTGAAACAACATTGAAACGAAACTGGTCCTGAAACAGGGATGTGACGTGTTTAGCATCAGTCTGTACTTTGTTTTGCAATAAACTGTATCGCGCAGCGATACATCGTTACCTAGCATGCGGAGCCAGTGACCTTTAATCAGGGGCAAGATTCCACTCGGTCTGAAACAGATGCAGGAACAGCCATTTGGCGATGCTGGGGGTATATTTACGAACTGGCGCACGTGTGCCGGTGACTATTCCTCCGCCTCATTCACAATTCGTACGAAAGGCTCGTCGTGACTGTCTGTCAGGTACGTCAGAACGTATGTGATGAGGAGTCTTTCTACTTCCGATTCGACGAAGACCATAGTGTCTGCTCTTAGCTTCTCCAGCCTACGGAATCGTTTGAGAGAACCGACAAAGATTCTGCCAGCGAAGCGATTCCTGTGAGATAACTTTGCAATGTTAGTTATTGCCAAATCCAATACGACGAGGCTGTGGCTAGCGTAATTGAATAGAATATCAATGACTGCGCGAATGTCCCATTCTTCGTATCCAGGTCGAGATGCTCGACAAGAGCCCTCAGAGTTGTTCGGAAAGCCGTACTCATATTTGAATGTGTGTAGGTCCTTGATAGCGCAAAACAGAGTATCGAGATCGTTGTCGTTGATCATACTTTCTGTGACCTCGAGAGCAATCACGTTGGACTTTCGCGTTAGCAGATATTCATCTACTAGACCCTCGGCGTCCTGAAAACTATGCACATCTGCATCTTGGGTCAACCGTAATGACGGAAGACATGCCCATTGAGTAAGCAGTGTGAAGTCTGCGCGTCCCCCTTGCGTATTGTAGAAGCTGATGGTAACCACTTTGCTGAGTGCGTGACTCGCATGGGGCTCATTTCTGCTGGCTTACAAAGCTCGAATCATGTTTTTGATACTAAAATCAGTCACGCTCTGATCGCGGAACCTGATCGAGCGGAGATTTGGAAGATGTTTGAAGAGAAGATTAAGAAGTGCTACATGACTTTCCAGCTTTAGCACCTCGTCTATGGCTTTCGGGTTTCAACTTATAACTGTTAGAGCGATCACGCCCTACATTCGGGTACTTTGAAGCCGGATAGTATCGAGACTTCAAGAATCAATCCTGCGCAGTATTGGGCCATGAAGGCAGATTATGTGTAGCGGACAGAAGCAACATGCTGCTTGCCAAGGAAACGGACGGAAAGGCATCATCTAGGCAGTCGGTGTGGCAACATTGTCTTGCTATTCTCGCTCAACCACCGAATTTGATTGTCTTGCGGAAAACGGACCGGTAAAGACGAGTATCGTTCGGGAGATCAACCCGTGAGTAATCAAGCTGTATGGAACACACGCCTTTGAGAAATACGGCACGGAATTGTTCATCACTATGAGGCACTAGTGAAGACTGCGAGCAAAGGGGTAGGGACCACTCAAGCTCCTAGCGCTAGAAAGAAAAAGAGGATTGTTCACCATTACTGCTGGAGCTAGTCGTGCACATGTACATCGGCATGGGCGAGTGCCGCCTTCTGTGCCGAGACTGCATTTCCACTCTCGAAAGTCAACTTCTTCAGCTTGGCCAACCTCCGTGGTAGTCGCTTAGATATGGGTTCAGTGGTTGAAAGGTCCCTTGCGGTCGTCAAGAGGGGCGTCATCTGCTCAATAGATGCCGGCAATGAGACCTCCGGTCGATGTACTTGACCGACTGTATTGATCGCATCGTGGATATATCTATCAACAAGGTTCTTGCGTTCTTTGGCCGAAGTGCGGAGTGGTGATTTCCCTTGCATACGTTCATCTGGCGTGGAGTCTCGAACTCTTCATCAACCGCCTTGAAGGTATTCTCCTCCTGGGAAGATTCGATGAAGGGCAATGTGTCAGCTGACAGCTTGTCCAAGACCCTGAAGCTCCTAAGATCGCCCGGGACAAAGACCTGGCCAGCGTTGAGGCTGCCATGGCGTACCTCGGTATTCGAAATCCTGGAGACTGGCCTGAGACCCCAAGGCTCTATCCGATCATCGAGCAGCACATCTTGGAGCGCAAAGGTCCGATGCGAAGAGGGGAGATCCTGGGGGCTATCCTGGCGAGTCTCGCTGCAGAGGTTGACACCCTCCGAGATGCAGTGTGCTTTTGGTCTCTGATGTTCTTCGAGCACAGGCTAAGGTTCTCCATGCTCTGGTAAAAGGTCTCGTGGAGGATCTGAAACGATGATCTGTTAGGAACTTTGAGGAGCTATATTGTCTTATCTGACAGGCATCCTATCACCAGCATCCCAAAAGAGAGAGAGAAAATAATAGTTGATTGACCATGTGGGTAAAAATTCGATTTCTCAGGCGAATGTACTTGGCATTGTTACCTATGTGTGGATATATGTGTTCCACAAATTTTCCCTTCTACCTAGAGTCTCAGCTCATGTTCTTTGACGGTGACCTTCACCGCCCATGAAGTGAGTGTGGCTCCACTTATACGTCGCTGCCACTCTTGGTGTGGCCCGAGCACGCCCGTAATCAGCCTTACGGATACTAGCTCGGAAATGATCACAGTTGGATCGTTTCGGATATTTGCAGTCCCCTGCGGCGCATTCAATATCGATGTACATCACGACCGAACAACCCCCAAGAATGGAGCCAGCCGCCCCAGCCTCGCCCTCATCTCCTATACCTGCGACCCGTGATCCGATTCCCCAGGCCTCGCCTTCTCCAGTCCCCTCTCCTCCACCGCCGCCACCATGAGGCCCACAACCCTCCTTCCCCCAGCTCTCCTCCTGCTCATCCACTCCGCCTCCGCCACCTTCTCCCTCAACGACACCGGTCCCTACTGGTCCTACACCGCGCGGCAACTATCCCCCACCACGGACCGGAAATGCTTGACGGCCTACTCGGCCCCGATCGCCTGCACGGAAACCCTCCTCGGCCTCGTGACCTCTCTGCGCCCGGGTTTCCAACCCACACGGGACGACCTCTCGTCCCTGTGTACGCTGGGCTGTAAGAGCGCGCTTGAAGATTACGTGCAGAATGTGGGCTCGGCATGCGGGGCGAAAGGGGATCTGGCCACGCAGCAGGCGGTCAAGTCGGGGAAAAACAACACGTACGTGCACGTGTGGGTTGTGGGGCAAATGTTCGAATACACCTATGCGCAATCGTGCGCGAAAGACGGGTACGCCCTCCCTCCTTCCTGGCCCCACAGATCCTCAACCTGGAGAAGAAGAAGAAGAAGAAAAGAAGAAGAAAAAGAAGAAAAAAAGCTAACCGCCCCCAGAACCAACAACTTCTGCCCCCTAACCTCCACCACCCTCCCCTCCGCCGCCGCCAACTGCTCCTCCCCCTGCTCCGTCGCCTTCTACACCAACGCCCACGACTTCGCGCCCGCGTCGCAGAAGCAGTTCCAGGACTCGTACCTCGCGACGCAGACGGCGTACTGGATCAAGCGGTTCAACCTGGGCTACAGGGCCCTGGTGGCCTGCGGGGAAGCGGTCGGGAACGCCAATCGGACGGGGAGCGCGGGGGCGGCGACGGGGGTGGGGTTGGGGGCGCGGGGGTGGGGTTGCGGCGGTGGTTACGGCGACGACGGGTTCGCCTGCTGGGACAAGTGCGGGTTCGGCGGCGACGGTGACGGTGGCGGAGAGTGGGAGGAGTGGTGGGAGTGTGCTGGAGGTTGACGTGAAGACTGCGATAGCGCTGGGCGTTCTGGGCTTGGTTGCCGCCGCCGTTTTGTCATGAGCAGCGGCGGTGGAAATCCTCAATCCTCACACACAAATACAGTTGCATGCAGATAGATGGATATATACCCAGCAATCGGTTCCCGTATTTTCGCAACGAGAAGATTTCGATTCGGGCCGTGTTTCAATTAGATATACCACCTCCAGGTGCCGTAACACTCCCCGCCGTGCTCAAGCCGTGTGCGAAAAGCTCCTCCCCTCCTTCCTCGCTTCAATCCCTCGCATGTCCATCCACCCATTACCTCCCCCCCTCCCCTCCTCCCCTCTTCCCCCAAACCCCTCCCCTCCTCCCCTCCTCCCATCCCCATCCCATCGCCCCCCCTACTTCCCCCCCCTCCTCCAAGCCAAAAGACTCAGCGCGCACGAGGCGGCAAAGGCCGCGAACGCGAACCAGATGAAAGCGGTATCGGCCTGGGCCTCGCGGCAGCGGTTGCCGAGGTTGACGCCCGGGGCGGTGTTGCCGGCGTGGTCGACGCCGCCGTTGGTGATGACGTTGTGGGCGGTGTAGGAGGCGCGGGAGCAGGAGTGGGCGCCGAGTTTGGCGGCGTAGGCCTGGGCGGGGGCGGGGCCGTGTTAGCGGTTTGCCTCGCGGGCGCGGGAGGCGAGAGAGGGGAAGGGAGGTAGGGAGGCAGGGAGGAGGGGATGGAAGAAGGAAAAGGAAAAAACCCACGACGCCGCCCGCAAAGGCGAAGAGGACGCTCAGCGCGTCGAGGGCCGCCATGACGACGCCGCCGAGGGCGGAGACGAAGGAGGCGGCGAGGCCGACGGCCGCGACGACGAGGAGCCAGATGCCGAGGAAGACGTTGTAGTTGGTGGCCGAGGGGGCGCCGCCGTAGGCCTGGGAGGCGACGAGGTGGCCCGAGAGGCCGAGGACGAGGATGCCGAAGAAGATCTGGCGGGGGGGGGGGTAGTTTGTTGTTGTTGTTGTTTTTGTTGGGGGTTTGGGAGGGATGGGAGGGGAGGGAGAGAGGGAGAGAGGGAGGGAGTACGTACCTCGAGGCCGCGGAGGGCCATGTTGGGTATCGAGGACATGGTGGGCGGGATCTGACGGGTTCGGCGACAGGTGAGGGTGAGAGGTGCAGGTGCAGGTGCAGGTAGGAGTGAAGTGAAGAGAAGAGAAGAGAAGATGAGTTATGGGACACGGATGGTAGGTAGTCTGTAGGTAGAGTAACAATAATGTTTGTTCGAGAGTCAAAAAAATTCCAACACCGTTTCCAGCCCCCTTCGGCGGGAAGGGGAGATTGGGGCTGGTGAAAGCGCTAGGCTGCAAACGGCGCAATGCGACGCGCCAAGCGCGTTTTAGCTCTGGGTGGTACGATACTTTCGTGTAAGTAACTTGGGGAAAGGATGGTTTACTACAGGTATGACGTGAGATGAAAGATGGTTCGGGATGGATATGAGTAGGGGAAGATGATGTGCTGGCCCCGGGAGTGTCTAGTTGGCGTGTTCATTATGTAAAGAAACCTCTTTCACTCAAGTCATGTCTGATTAAGCTAGCAACTATAGGCGAGCTCTCGATACGGCTCTTGTCCAATGATTGCACGCTGCTGTTTGAAACTCTTGGTGTTGTTTACCCTTCTGATTGTATGGCCCCGGTATTCATCACTAAGCTTTGGCTCTGCCCACGAGCTCTCCGTAGCCAATCCCACCCAGAACCCTCTGACAGCATTGAGCGAGCCCACCTACGCACAGTCCGTGCCTGGGTCCTAAGAAGTTGTACGGCAAGCGAGTGCCGAGCAGTGAGACGCTGTGCTAGTACTGGAAGCCGCGTCGTTCCTTCAGAGCTTTCCAAGGCCGGTGTGGATTGTCAATAGGTCCTGGTGCGGATCGTTGTCTTGCTCGTCTGCGGATTCTTCGATTCCAAAAACTTCTGGACGGCAAGAATCAATCCATCACCACATTTTCTATCTGCGACAAGTTCGCAGGTATCTAGCGTCCCTACGAAAGGGACCAGATACTGTACCCAGCTCTGTTCATGAATTGCATCCAAATAGCTTTGGTGACAAGGCCATCTGAGTCCTGAAAAGAATGAACCAGAGAAGATGTCAATTGTAAGCTGCTTCAGCTCTAGATTCTGGCGCATATAGGTGCATGCCGCCTTGAGAAACATGCCGCCTGCACTATCTGATAAGTCATCTGAGATACGGAGACAGAGACGAATCTTTTTGATGAGGCTTCGAGAAACCTGAGGCCGGTCTTTGAGGAACGATATGATAAGCGAGTGGTGGGGAAAGAAGAAGCAATTCTCGGAGTAGAAAACTTGGCGTGCCTCTGAGTAGGTTTGTCGATCCAGCGACAAGATAGCCGGGCGTATGTTCCGGGAGCAAACACGATACGTCCCCAAGTCTCCAAAACGCGATGGGTCGGTAGCGACAAGCGCACTTCTGATTGTTCGCAGGATTTCCCATCCAGGCCATGAAGAGCCTTCCTTTACTGATATAGTGTTCTCAGGAGCGTGTAAGAGGTATCGATAGATTCGAACTCGCAACTCGGCTGGTAGGTTGAGGAATGGAAAGGTGGGTAATGTATCTTCGTCCTTGTTGCCAGATCTGCAGCTTCATTAGAAAAGGGGCAATGTTATTGGGACATAGTATCATGGGGCACAGTCAAGTGGACACTCACGCGAGGCTTGCTGAAGCATGGCTCTCATTGTCCATCGACCTGGGAATGACACTTCGACTGCTTAATTCGAGGGCAGAGGTGCGAGTAGCATTGGCAATGGAGATCTCGGTGAAATCAGACATTGCTGAGTAGAAAGTAGCCTGAGTGTAGTAGCCTCTCCCTGTGTTGTTTGAATGGATCTATCGTTGATGGAGGAATCGAAAATTCCGATGCAACGAAGAGGTGAGAAAGTATTGAGTTTGGGCTATGTGATGTCGCTATATTCCAAACGGAGATCGTCGTGAGGTGAAGGGTGGTTGATAGCACTAACGCTGACTTTCTTGACGTCTTTCTGGCGTCGGAAGACTACCCGAAAGAAGTCGATGTGAGGTGGTGTCGGTGTGGTTGGCGCAGTGCTGCTAAAATGCCAGCGATGCCGAGAAGGGTCCCACGGACACTAGTCTCCATATAGAGCTAGCGCTAATGTTCCCTTCCCTTCTGTGTAGGCGAAACAAACACCAACTGCAAAATGAATCTCGTTGAAGACGATCAGCGTAGCCTAGCACTCCGCTTTTGGAAAGAAACAAGTCTGAATCTGCGGTGCCCCTGGGCTGGATCTTTTTCGATTGGCTTTGGAGATCATCGGATGCCCCTCATAAAACTCCAATCCTTGGCCCGGTTCCTCTCCCTGGCTTCAATGCTCGGGGGATCTTTCAATTCTCTAGACGACCAGAACCTACAATTTGAACTCTCGACAGGAAGACGCTCGCTTTGTACTGGTTTGTCATCCGGTCATCTCCTCACAACTCCACAAGACCTTCCAGCACTCACATTCAGCAAAATTGAGCATGGCTTCTAGCATGAGGGAAACCGAGTACCGTATACATGCAAGTTCCATCGCTGGGGGCGAACATCGAGAAGCACCAGCTTTGAGTGAAGAGCTGGTGGGTAGAGGCATTGAGGAAAATGAGGATACCCGGCTACATCTCTCATCGTCAAGGGCAACCATGCGACGGGTAATGCCACAATACCGGATGGCGCAGGGAGTATGAGCAGTGCCTGTATCGCCGCGTCGATGAGGCTTTGGAAAGGAAAAGGTGGAAAGGAGACACAGGAAGGCGCCGTACCGCGAGATCTGTGCCAACAATGGATATCGACGCAGACTTCTCGGGGGCGCTCACGGAACATCACATGCAATTATTAGCCAGAAAAAGCCATTTGAAAGAGAGGGGATGCCCCCCGAGCAAGTAGCTGCATAAGGGAATGGGTGGTAGTGATGGCTTGGAAGACACCATCAGTTCGAAGCCACCTAGATTTTCTCCTCTTCTGTATAGCCAAATTTCGCCATGAAGAGGCCGTGTGTACCGAGCGAAGAGCTCGATAATAGCGACCCATCACTTCTGACACCTTGACCAATGTGATGCGGTCAGACCTTCGAGTACGGCACGGACGTTGCGCCGATGCCTTACGCATATCTTGCATTGCGCACATGCACGGGGACAAAGCCCTCATCTGCATGGAGAAGACATTATCTTATTTCGTTCACGGAAATCTCAATTCCCAAGATCGACAAGCCTTCCGTGGTTGAGCTTTTGAAGCCCACTGTCCGGCGCAGTGCCAACTAGTGATGTGATTTTGACTTTACAGTAATTACACTTTACAGTAATTACAAGTGTAATTACTGTAAGACACATGAGCCTGACGGTCACGCTAGTAGGGCGCTAGTAGGTACTTAATATTTGGCCTGAAAGCCTCCTATTGGGAGGTACCATTTCCGAATAATGTAGTGTAAGATTCGAATATTTGATGCAAAATTTGCAGCTGGTAAGCATAGCCGAAGCCCCTGAAGGAGGACGAGACTCGATGAAGGCATTCCAGACCGTCTGGTCTCTTGTATTGCTTGGTCCATGACGAGGCATGCTTGGTAGAAGGCCCAATGGTGAAAGGATGACTGTAAAAAGGTGGATTTGAATAGAGAAGGCAAAATTTCTCCGCAGAGAATTGCCAAGACCATGGATTTGACCAATCAGAAGGCTTACATAAGGATTACTAAGTATTTTACATGATTTACACGCTGTCACGCAGTTTTTGCCTTACATTACTGTAATTACTGTAAGGCACATGGCCTTACATGTAAAATCACATCCCTAGTGCCAACCGGTGGCTTTGAAGCTCCCTGCGTAATGATGGTTGGCAAAAGCACTGGGATTGCAGCGCGAACAACACTCCAGCCAACCAGGGGCCCCTGTCGGTCGTTATATGGTTGGTGGCCCGGATATGGCAGCATACACGGTTGTGCTGAGCCTCCGACGCACAGGAAAAAGGTCCGAAAAAGCGGGAAGCGGGAGGCGGGGCAATTTTCGGATCAAAACGTGCCAAGTGCCAAGTGCCAAGTCCAACGATTTCGCTTCCACAAGTTCCAGCGGCCGGGTCTGCCCTGGCCCCTCGGTCGCTTTCTCTTGTGGGCTTACGCCTCATGATTCATGACTTTTACTGAGCGTCTTTTGCTGTGGAGGTGTGAAGTTGGAAAGCAGCGATTGGAAGAGTGTCATTGGTGCCTTGAAATGCTCCGAACAGTTTGTACGAGGCTACTGTTGGACCAGGACCCCCTGCCTGCCTGTGTGAGCCTGCGTTGGAAATTCTCTCGCAGCAACTGTCATTAGTACCCAAACTTCAAAAACCGTTTGTGGTAAAAGTAGGATCCACTTGGGCGATTGGAAAGAAGCTTTTCCTTATCACCTGCGCATCCAGAGTAGGTGCACTGGTTTTGATGCGCAAACGAGACAGTACCGTAGGGTGGCTAGCTGGCACCTCCTCCTTCTTAATGAGGAAGTTGAAGGGACTATTTCCTCATGCAGAAGGAAATGAAGGGAACACATGAGGACTGGGGAAGACTACGGTATCAGCTATTCAGGGACGGGGATAAAACAGGAGAATGGAGAATGGAGAATGATGGCCATTAATTCATCATAGCGTCGAAGCCAATATGGGGGGAAACAATAGCGCTCCAATCAATCTAAGCGACATTTTCATGAGTGTACTTTAGACGCTAGGGTACAGCCAGCAGGCCACAGCGGACCTAAGCCCGGCCCGGAAAGAAGCCGAAAGAAAGTCAGCCGAAGGGCCAATTATGAGGGGCACTAGGGAAGCACTAATGGGAAGGAGGAAGGGTAAGTAGGACTAGATGACTGATGGCCAAAACACCAGGCAATTCAGGATTCTAGAGTCAGGGACCCCTGCATCGCCATGCAGCTGCCATGCGACACGGGGCAAGTACTCATACCTAGCACAAATAATTATCCGCTTATCTTGCCAAGTACCTTACTCACTTTGAGCTTCTTCTTTTTAGCTTCTTCTTCATCCTGTTGATCCCAGGATGAAGGATGGAGCGCTTCCTCCCAAAATGATCCACTTGACACTCGGGCTCATGACACAAACAACCCCTGCTGACATGTTACTGGTCCGGTAAGAAAGGGAAAGGAAAGATAAGGAAAAATTTAGGGAAATTCAAGAGATGAAGATGCTAATTAAGTACGTGTCAATCTTACACACTACCTGACTACCCATCTTCTTTACCCCTGAGTCGTTTCCTGAATGGCGCGTCTCATTGGACCTCGATTACGTCCCGTGTGGAAGCTAACCGCACTTGCATCTCAGGCCAGTCAAGCCATCCATCTCAATTTTCGCTAATGGCCCGCAACTCTGCTGAATTGCTCCCGTCCTCCACTCCTCCTCACTGCCTCACTTTTCTTCCTTCCTTCACTACGACGCACACCATCGTTGACATCCCCTCTTTCCCTTTTCATTTCCTTCCCTCACCTAGGCAGTATTCGCAAAGGCGGCTGCTGTGACCGGAGAATGTGATAGCAACAACGGAATGAAAACACACTGTAGGTCGAAAATTTCTCCGAAAACGCAGCTTCCTTCAAAAATCAACAGCTAACCGTGCAAACTCCTCTACAGAACACCGAGCACATCCGGATATGCCTTCCTCCGAGGTCAATTTCAAGATCCAGGATGAAGGGCGTCTGGCAGAATTGGGATACACGCAGGAGTTGAGGCGAGAATGGAGTCTGTTGCACAACTTCGGCGCATCCTTTTCCATCATTGTGAGCGAACACTCCACCAGCAATACACCAACGCACCTTTGCTAATGCTTGCTCACCCTTCAGAGTGTGGTGACCGGGATCACGACGTACGAAAAACACTACATTGCCTGCCGTGGAAATTGAACTGACCATGTTCAAGTCTCTTCGCCTATGGCCTCAACACAGGTGGGCCCGGCGTCATGACCGTTGGGTGGATCATCGTCAGCATGTTCAGTATGAACGAACCATTCTGTCATGCCTGCTCCTGGACTGACCACCCGGTAGCACTCATCATTGGCGCCTGCATGGCCGAGATCCTCTCCTCAATCCCTACCTCCGGCGGCCCCTACTTCTGGGCCTACATGCTCGCTCCCCAACACAATGCCCCCTTCTTCGCCTGGATCACTGGCTGGTAAGAAGCCACCGCCTCCACAGTGCTCATCCCCATCGTTGACCCGATTTCGTGTAGGTTCAACCTTCTGGGACAGATAGCGGTCACCACCGGGATAGACTTCGGGTTGGCAAACCTAATCTCCACCACGGCCCAAGTCAGTAATGGTTACCACGCTTCGTCCGGGAAGACTTTGGGCATACTCGCGGTGGTGCTGGTGTCGCATGTCCTCATCAACCTGTTCAGTGTGCGCACTTTACGGTACATGATCTACACCTCCATTGTCTTGAATACCCTGGGGGTGTCATGTCTGGCCATCGCAGTCCTTGCAAAGGCACCGACGCACCAATCTGCAAAGTTCGTCTTTTCCACCTTCTACGATGGCACGGGATTGCCGGGTCAGGACGGGTGGAGCATACGAGCGTCTCCGGCATATGTGGCCGCCGTCGGAGTCCTGATGTCGCAGTACACCATTTTGGGCTTTGATGCTTCAGCCCATCTGTGTGAGGAGACGAGGAAAGCCGTCAGGGATGCTCCGTTGGGGTTGCTTTCGGCGATTGCAGGGTCGTCTGTGATTGGATTCTTTTTGATCGTCGCTCTGCTATTTTCGATTCAGGACTTCCAGGCTGTCAGAACCAGCCCGCTACCAGTGTTGAAAATCTTGATGGATGCATGTGGTGAAGGAGGTGGATTGGTGCTCATGGTCCTGATCATGCTTTGCGTCTGGCACTGCGGTCTTTTCAGCCTGGTCCGTAACCCACCCTTTCCCTCTCACACTCACGCAACCCCGTGCCCCAATAACGGAACTCAACTGCGCCGCACTAACACTGCCAGACGTCCAACTCCCGCATGATGTTCGCCTTCGCCCGTGACGGCGGCATTCCGCACCGACTGCACATCATCGACCGCGGCTTCCACTCCCCGATCCGCACCGTCCTCTTCGGCGCCGGCTGTTCCTTCCTCCTCGCTCTCCCGTCCCTCGGCTCCACCGTCGCGTTCGACGGCACGACTTCCATCGCCACGATCGGCCTCTACCTATCCTACGGCATCCCCATCGCCATGGGCCTCGCGTACCCACGCAATTTCAAACGCGGGCCGTTCAACCTCGGCTCCGCATCCAAGCCCCTCGCCACCGTCGCCTGTCTCTGGATTGCCTTCATCACTATCGTGTTCTGCCTGCCGGCGGAAAACCCGGTTACGCAACAGACGCTCAACTACACGCCCGTGGCCCTGGCGGTGGTAGGCGTCTTCGCCTTCGGCTCGTGGTTCCTATGGGCGAGACATTGGTTCACGGGGCGGTGTAGGCATCATTGCAGGATCTGCATTCGGCAGTTGGACTTCCTGGGCGAGGAGATGGTGTACAGATCCGACACCGTGGACAGCGATGGCCATCAACGGCTGAAGAGTAACGAGGGCACCAACGACGGCTTTCAGCCCAGTGATCCCGATTTCAGGAAAAGAGGGGAAAGTAGAGGCGGGTTGAAGAAGGCGGGTGATCAGTAAGTGCATCCTTTCTCCGTGCTTACCCATTTATCCATCACTCCATTCATTCAATCAACCATGGCATCGCCACCACCGACGCAAGGGCTAACGAGCGGTACGTCCGAACAGGAAAATCTCCGTCGGGAGGGAATTCGAAGTCTACTCCGCTCCCGCGAGAGAATACGAAGAAGTGGGCGAAATGTAACATAACATAAATGGAAATCAACTTAAATCAAATCAAATCAAATCAAACCATCGGCGGCGATTGGAACCGGGGATGTATGTACAGGGTTCATGTATCCATGGGGACGTGAAGTGAGTGAGTGAGTGAGTGAGGGTTGGTAGGTAGCTGTAGGAGTAGGAGTAGAGTACGAGGGACTCGTTGGAGTTGATATGATACCCATGCATGTATTCAGTCATCTATTTATCTATCTATCTATCTTTCTAGGAAAGGAAGTAGGAAAGAAAGGAAGGAAGGAAAGAAGGGAAGAAGGGAAGAACGGAAGAAGGGAAGAACGGAAGAACGGAAGAAAAATGGAAAAATGGAAAGAAGGAAATCAAGAAGGAAAGAAGGGAAAAAGGAAAGAAAGAAGAAGGAAAGAAGGAGAGAAGGAAAGAAAGAAAGAAAGAAGGAAAGAAAAGATATTCAATCCACTCATGCACACGACCAGGATTGAATTCTTCACTCGATATCACCCATTCGCCATTCGCTACTTCCCATTTCCTATTTCCCAATCTCAAATGTCAATCTCAAATCTCAAGTTTTGCCTCTGCGTCTAATTCAGGACGGGTGTGGGCGGCTGCGTCTTTTGTTGTATATCTATCTACGCATCTATCTTGTTAGGGTTAGGGTTACCTATTCTTATTATTCTTATCATTCTTATTATTATTATTATTATTATTATTATATCTATCTACCCATCTATCTACTCATCATATTCATCTCATCACCATCATCACCATCGGGATTGAAGCTTATAATACTATTGTGTTGAAAGACTACCAAGTGTCTCCGTTCCGTTCACGCACTCGCTACCGTCCGACCGGACTGAGGAGGGGAGGAAGGAGGTAGGTTGGGCGGTTTAAAGAAGATTAGGTAAGTGCAGGGCGTGCCCGGGCTGAGAGTGAGAGGGTGTGAGAGTGCGAGTGCGAGTGGGACTTTTGACGGCCTGGGCGGTTGTGTGGGTGGGGGATTATGGATGATGGGATGGGGTAGGTTGGTAGGTTGGTAGGAGGGTGAGGGGGGAGGGTTGTGTGTTTGGAGAGTTGGAGAGGTTGGTGAGTTTAGGATTGGTGCATGGGTGGGTATAGAGCGGGCTTTGAAATGAGGCAGGTGGGTGGGTTGGGTGGGCGAAAAAACCCCAAATCCGGGTACCGGTTCTACCACCGACGTGAGGGCTACGGGCAGAACGATCGAGGGGGGCCAAGTCATCAAACAACAACAACAACAACGACAGTGCGAAGGATGTGGAAAAGCTTCTACTCATGCGTGGGCGAGCGTGGATGGGATCGGATCGAGCGAATCCGTTTCTCACAAACGTGGAAGTGCCCACTTATTCTGATCACTAGCCGGTGGACAGCACCGGTGAAGCCCTAACCCTACTCTCGGGAGGTGACCCTACAGCGGAACTGTGCATGAATTGAACTGTGCATGAATTGAGCTCTGGGGACTTTTTATCACTCGGACGTGATAGGGGCAATAGGCCCGAAGCTGGAAATCGAGGTGCGTGCCGGAACACTTCCACCCAAGCGCAAACCCTTTCAGGCGGGAGATGTTGGGGCTGGCAGGTGCAGGATTTCCGGTGCCGATCTCTGTAAGGTAGGTAGTTGGTGACTCGCCAATGTCAGTGGTTGCGGGCTGGGGTGAGATGTGTAGGAGGGGCGGGCTGTGGGGTTTATATGGTGGGTAGACGCTTAGGCAAGGATGAAGGGAGGGAGGGAGGGTTTGATCTGGTCTGACTGACTGACGGCAATGGATGTCTGAGCTAGCTCTGCGAGAACGACTGCTGACGGGGAAGGAGCTGAGTGCGTGGCTGTGTGATGTATGTATGTATGTATGTATGTATGTTTGTATGTATATGAAGCGAGGAAGGGACTATCTGTGTTGTTATGAGAGTACGAAGTCCGTTAATGAAGTGATTAGCGCTAGGTATGTGCTGGTGTGGTGTCGAGTGTTTATTCGAGATTTTATGGGGTGGGTGGGGAGATGAGGCGACGGAGAAGGGATGCAACGTGAAGAAAGGAATCAGGTGAAAGAGTAGTCATTATCCCATAATCGCACAACGATACGGTAGGTCTTTCTGTTCTTCCGATTTTCTGGACATCTGTGAGATTAGTAGATGCGTCTATGGGTAATACGTACGCACTGACGCGGCTCGTCTGGACAGAGCTACACAAGCCGTGCCACCTACTGTTGTATGGACCTCAGCACCATGCCGCGTTGCTGCCAAAATATGTAGGCCTGTAGCCTCGTCCGCGCGGATGGTATGGATTCCGGGATGCACGCCGGGATGGAGAGGAGAGCGATGAGGTTCGGCTCGATATCCAATCGTCAGTCATTAGGGTTGGTTGCAACTGGCTATTCTGCCTCTGCCTGCAATTTACCGAATCAACGTGCTGTCATTACTGTCTTCGCTCGATATGATTTTGCAAATGTGAATATGGATGGCCTTAACTCGGAGTTAGAGGTCGGGGAGGTTTCAAAAAGGCCTGCACACGAGAAATCCCCTTATTTTACTCTTTAAAATAACTCCACAATATTATCTTTACAAAATATATTTTGCGGTGAGAATTTATTGTTTCTGATGTAATCTTTGACATACGTAACGAAATCCTTTGTTTTGGGCACTCGTATGACAAGTTGTGGTAGATTTGTAGATTTGGGGGTGTGCAGGCTTTTTTGAAACCCCCATTATAGGGTCCACGATTACCTTACAGATCAATACCTGTACTGGTAAGACGGGACTAAAGTTTATGGTATTACTCGGTAAGGAATCATTTGTTTTGGGTGTGAGATAGCACGTTAGAACTTGTTCGAGGGTTAAGGCCTGAAAAGTTACCGGATTGTGGAATAACACCTCAGGCTATGGTTTGCTCTAACGCCGAACGGGTGCACCGTTACTTAACTACAACAGACGGAATATTTCTTTCTTTCAAAACAAGTCCATCTTATATATACTTACTTACGCACTTAATCCTATCCAATCTAACTCTAACGTGCTGCCGATCGATCAGCGTTTAACAATAATAACAACAGCGCACCGCAATGGCTGCACAACTTCCCACGCGCCAATTGGGCAAGGATGGGCCGTGGGTTAGTGCGTTGGGGTATGGGGCTATGGGGCTGAGTTGTAGGGAATTACCGCGTCCGATTTCTCCGATATGAGAATGGGCGAGCTAATGATATGATGCATGAGTAGCTACGCTCTACGGCGATGCTGGAGACGAGGAAGAGCGGTTAGCGTTTCTGGATAAGGTGTTTGAGATGGGCTGTACGTTCTGGGATACTGCTGAGGTATGAATCGGGATTGAATGTTTGCTATGTTCGAGAGTCGTAAGCTGATCTGGTGTAGGGCTATGGGGACAACGAAGAGCTGATTGGGAAGTGGTTCAAAAGGACTGGAAAGCGTGATCAGGTATGCTCTACCTTCGTTCTAAATCTTGAGAGTATGTGATGCTGAGAGAGGGATAAGGTATTTCTGGCAACCAAATTCGCAGTCAAGGGCTTAGCAGACGGTACACGCATTTTCTCCAATGAGCCGGAGTACATACGAAAAGCCATCGATAGTGGTACTGGTTCGTATCTCCCTCTTCCCCCAATCCAAGCCTTTTCCCATCCAGCACTGACAACCCTCCAGCCACCGTTTCGACGGCAAAGTCCCCGTCGAAACCATCGTCTCTACCATGGCCTCCGCCGTCCACTCGGGCAAAGTGCGCTACCTCGGCCTTTCGGAATGCTCCTCCACCACCCTCCGCCGCGCCATGACCATCCACCCCATCCACGCCGTCCAAATCGAATACTCCCCCTTCACCCTCGACATCGAAAACGCCTCCGGCACAAACCTGCTCGCCACGTGTCGCGAGCTGGGCGTAGCGACCGTAGCCTACAGCCCGCTCGGCCGGGGGGTGCTTACAGGCCAGTACAAAAGCGCCGAGGACTTCGGGCCGGGCGATTGGAGGCGTAACATGCCTCGATTCTCGGCGGAGAATTTCCCCAAGAATCTCGAGCTCGTTGACAAGCTTTCCGCCATCGCGAAGATGAAAGGTTGTACGACGGGGCAATTAACGCTGGCGTGGTTGATGGAGCAGGGGCCGGATGTGATTCCGATTCCGGGGACGAAGAAGGCGAAGTATCTTGAGGAGAATTTGGGGAGTTTGCGGGTGGTGTTGAGTGAGGGGGAGGGTGGAATTCAGCAACTCAGCCCTGTTATGCTTGGCATGAACTATAAGTAGCAGTACTCCTCCATAGAAAAACAACAAGCCGTCATCAATTTCATCAGGAGGCAGGGGAGATTAGGGAGGCGGTGGAGGGTTATATAACGAGTGGGGATCGGTATCCGGGGGTTATGGCGAAGGTTTGTTTTGGAGATACGCCGGAGCTGGAGGGGAGAGAAGGAGGGGGGTAGTGAAAATGAGGGATGAGGCTGTTGCTACTGCTTGCCTTCGATACAAAAAGTCGGCTGCAGAGCCTTGGGCGGCATTGCCGTAGGGCTGACCTGCTATACTTCCTGCTCTCTTTCAACCATCCTTCATGACCATCATACATATCGTTTTAACAGAACAAGTCCTTTCAGCACGAGGAGAAGATTTATGCGTTCGTGTTTATCAGATGTTATTGACCAATCGTATCGTCTAGATGCGAGGTCGTGCCAAGCCTCGCGGATATTATATTCCCAATACAACGATTGGTGAGGATGAGCGCAGCCTTGCCATGCGCAGCACCGCGGTCAAAAGTCTCCGCCACTCTCTCCATCTCAGACTCCGCGCATCACCAGAGATCGTGTGCTACCTACGCGCTTCGAAGCGAGAAGTGGAAGAAGAAACAAGTTCACGGTGCTGCATCGCGATTGGACGATGCGAGATGCAAGCTCTATGTAGCCTCATGCACGGTGATCGCCGAGCCACCGTAGCAGGGCGCAGGAAGAACAGCCTCATTCTCTGCAACGACTATATGGTCTCGGAGAACCCCGCCATGTCGGTATATCACTGCTGACCTCTCTTCCAACCTACCCCTTCCATCCAATTATTATGTCTCCGCCCATCCCATGACCATCAATCTATCAATGTGATCTTCAGAGCGTTGGAAAGAAAATACATGCCCTGGCGGCGCATTTTCATTAATATAATGAACATTTCCAGCTCATATCGCGACTTCTCGTCTCGTGCTTTAGCTTCTAAGCATATCCCTTGCCCAATATGCCCTATACGAGGAACAGTGGCCCTACGAGTGCAAATGATCCTTCAAGCGGAACTGAGAATGATCCTAACGGCGGCCATTGCGGCCAAGCCTTGGGCTTCTCATCCAGTTCTTCCCACACTTACGGTACTCCCAATTACTATCTTCAACAGCAATCCACCAGTGGATACCTATACCCACATGGGCATCAAACCCTCAGGCCTCCTCCTCTCAACGCTGGCTATCACTCCAGGGACAACTCTAAGAAGCGCTCCTCTTCTCACGGCACTAGCAATTCTGGCTATGCTACCAGAGTCCCTTCAGTGGCTAGCCCACAACCACAACAGAGCTATCCAGTCCAGACCTACCCAGTCCAAAGCTATCCAGTCCAAAGTTACCCAGTCCACAGCTATGTTCCCAGTCGCCAGCTGGGCCCACAGAAAGCAGACCGTCCTGGTATTGAGGTCGTTCATACTGCTCATGTAAGCTCTTCAAAATACGTGAAGGAGCGAAAGCTCAGGTAGGATACTACTCTCTTCGTTGGTGCACTCAGTGGGAAGCATTGCCTCTCCACCCTACATCTCTGACAATTTTCTGCATTCGCTGACATCTTATTCAGCACCCCAATTCCTTCATCGCCTTCCGAGTACCCCTGCCTATACCCAGACTGCGGCCACATAAGTTCTCGAGCTCACGATCTTAAAAGTCATATGGTTGTGCACTTTCCCCCTGCACCAGACGAGCTACTTGATTGTAAGTACGAGTGGTGCGGGCGTATTGGATCACACGGTTTCAAGAGAAAATACGATCTTGAAGAGCATATGAGGAAGGTACATTTCAAAGAGACTAACCTTCTCCCAGTATCCTATACCCACGATTGGATCACACGGTTTCAAGAGAAATGACCATCTTAAAGAGCATATGAGGAAGGTACATCAAAAAGAGTCTGAGTGCCCTAGAGCGAGTAGACGGGGCAATGGACAAGAAAGTAGAAGAAAGAGCCCGAGACGTGGATCTAAGGTAGCAGCGGCTGCGACACACTGTTCGGTCGTTTCAGAAAATCAAAGCATGCTTGTAAAGATCAAACCAGAAAGCACAAGATCTAGGGCAAGAGAGGAGAGTGTGCTCCCGTCAGGCAACCCTCAGGCTCCAGGACTGTCAGCGGAAGCTGCAGCACGAATTGCGAATTCGCAACCCCGGAAAATCTGTGAAAACCCGCCAGATCAAGAGACTGCTGGGTTGAAGGTCTCTATTCCGGATCCAGATTCGGTCGTGCCGCAAGCTCTGGACGCTAACAACGTCGGACCTATCGATAAGATGGCTAATGCATCGGACGATGTAGAAATGGAGTCGCATGAAGCAAACGAGTTGATTTCTTCCTCGGATGATAAAAGTGTGCATCAGCGACTGAAAGACGGTATCCCCGATGACCCTGGATCTATCGCTGAGTGCGAACATAGGCATTCAACAGGAACGGTTCTCGACGGAAACGAGGGTTTGATAGCTTCAAAGTTTCACCACTCGATCAACGCCAAGCTGGCACTCATAGAATCTCAGGTGCTTGAGGCTTTGTCAGCGGGCGAAGCAGGCCAGTACCGCGCTTCGATCAAGATTCAGTGGAACGTCTTGGGTTTCATGAATGACCAATTCCGTGAGGATGACTTTCCAAATTCAGCTTTGAGTCCCGTTGTTACAATAAGTGGGTCTGCACAGCACGCTCAAGCGACGACCTGCTCAGAGTATATACAACAAAACTGGCCTGCACATGGTTCGAAAGTTCTGGATGCCCTACAGGCTGCTTTGGATAGCCCTTCCCACACGTCACAGTCTAAAATTTGTGATCGTATTGATGACGGAAATATTTCTAGAGACGGTGCACCCTCCAGTCATGCTGAGCTTGAGTTCCAAGTCACTCGCGGTTCTATGTCTCTCTACATCACATCCGGAAATCCAGACATCGTTGTGGACGTTGTCCAGCAGCTGGCATGGATGGGGGCCGCACTCCGAACGTCCGGAGATGGTCGAATTGAATATTGTGATTCAAAGCTGGAGGCAGTCCTGAGAGCTAGAGGAGTGGCACCGGCCATTTTGAACCTTACTTTTGACATGAACTCGCCTAGTGGCGAAGACCAAAGTTGTTGGTTTCCACTATTCACGAACCCCGTCATTGCCTATGGATTTCCAACAGTCCACAGAAACGACCATGAAGTGGGACTCGAGATTCCGCTAGAAATGATGGCTGCTCTTGGTGGCGCAAGACACGCGGTGGATTTCGAAGGCGGCTTGGTGTTGAAAGGGTATTCGGTCTTATTTGTACCCATACGTGTCCACGAGGAGTCCGTCCAATGGCATTTGATATGTGCTCGGGACGAGGAGCGAATCCCGTATCGCGAAGCATCAGTGCAATGCCCGAATCGAGTCTTTTTGAAGGACCTCAATCATGAGGCACTTAGGACTACGCGTGCGTATCTTGGATGGTGGAAAGAGGCCGAAACCCACCTTGGAACCTCAGACGCCGACTACAAGAGCATTGACTGGTCGAAAGCGAAGGAAGCCGGCCCGCCTCCAAGACTCACCGGTGGGACTTTAGGTGTCTCGAGAATAATCTCTGCTCAAGTGAATTTTGTATTGGGTGCAAAAGACGGCTCGTTTCATTACTCGCAGCATGAGCCATTTCAAAAGACAGTCGATCGTTCAGAGAATCTCCCGGTAGTTCTTTATGATGAAAAGGATCGAAGATCTTGGCTAGTTCCAGCCCTCCCAGTCATACTGCACATCATCCAGCTGCGGCACCATATTAAACCTTTCGTTGTCGACGGGGAAAAAGTTAAGATTTCTCCCTTAGACCCTTCACAGCAGGGATTTGCTGCTAGGGAAGCAGTCACCAAGAACAAGTCGCAGAAGCTGTTCGACTGTGAGTCGAATGAAGAGAAGGAGTACTGCTTCAGAGACGCTGTGTTGGATACCTGGTCTATTCTGGACCGTCTCATGGAAAGGGAAGCAACAACGCAAGCTACTCCCGGAATGGCCATCCATGCCACATGGCAGAGCACCTTGCACGGATGGGAGTTCAGAGCCGTTGCTGATGAGGACAGGCATCTCAAACAGAAGTCACAGATTCTTGAAAAATCTGCTGGACGATGGTACGACCTTGTTGAAGATGTCGATGCTGTTGTACTTTTTGCAAGCGGATTGGGCGATATCATTAAGCCTGGATCTGGTTTGGGTGGACTGTGCCGGAAGTGGAGAAGCCTCCCAAAGGATAAGGATTACCTTGCCGTCGGCGTTTCAATGCTAAGGATGTTCTACGCAAAAGCCGGACACCGCCAGGATCAGCAATACCTAACCTCTGCGAAGCTCCAATGGCATCGAGGCTCCATGCTTTTTGAGCCATGCGCTGGCGTCAGTTCGAATCGCTGCAAGTGCGACCGTTTACAGCAGGTATACCACGACTCGTACAAAATAATCGGGCATAGAATCCCACACGGCAAGCTCGAAGCCAACGGTTGTGTGGTATTTGGTCAAGCCCATCACCCACTCAAGCTCCCCCAAAGCGTCGCCTGGAGACAAAACACTGTCCATATGTTACCCAACACTTCCATTCAGGATGGGAAAACCACCAAGAAGACTTCAACAGAAGATGATGGCTCACTATCACCGTCTCCTCCAACATCGGTCTCCCCTGAACGTGAAGAAGTCAATGGAAATGCAATCTGGAGCCCACAACGACGGCCGTCGCCACTGAGTTTCACTGACCATCTGGTGCAAGAAAAAGCGATTGCATCAGAGAGAAGACGTAAGACTCCACACATGCAGGCGTCGAGTTTCGACATGTGCAAGGGACCCAACGACAGCAATGACCAAATATCGTTGTCTGACGACTGTGCAACATGTCCCCTGGAATATCAGTCGATACTCAGATATGATAATCTGTCGAACGGACAATATTCGGGATGCAGAGAGACTATCCACGCTCCCAAAGCTGAAGACGCTCCACCACATGCCCCAAAGACTCGAAGTCACAAAGCGAAGATCAAAAACTATAGCCATCGTGGTGGCTGTTCATGTACGACTTGTTCCACAGGATCTTTTGAGCCACCAGAAAGCATGGAGCTTGTCAACACCGTCAAGGGCATTCGAAGGAATTCAACGAATATAGCAAAAATGCCAAACAGACAGCTAGTGTGATCTTGCAGTGTCTTTCAGAGCACCCATCACGAGTCGGATCTTCTCAGCAAGCTTTTAAAAAATCAAAACGAGGGACTTCTGTTTGGAACTTCCGCTCGAAATGTCTATCAAGGGACGGTGGCGGCAGCACAGTGCTTATTGATTAGCCATACTGTACATTGAAGACGCCAAATTCACGTCAGCCTCAAACCAAACATCTCAATCTCCAATCTCATTCGAGCCCAAGCAGCGCCAATCGCGCCGTAACATGCACCTCCGTCGGATCCCTAACCGGATCATAATACCTCCTACACTCCCTCTCCCAGCCTTGCAACAAACCCACCCAACGCCTCCCACACTCCTCCCTCTGCCTCCCCAAATCCTCTTCCTCCCTCTGCCTCCCAGTCCGGAAATACGCCCGCCAAAAATTACACTCGATCTCCGTGCGCAAATGCTCCGCTTCCGCTTCCATCGCCAGCAACGATTCGCGGATCTCTCCGCGCAGCGCTGCCGGGATGGGGTCTTCAGTGAGCGCGAGGACTTTGGCCAGATAGGAGAGAGGGTGCAGGAAAGGATCCATAAGCCATGGCGTTAGGGAGTTGTTGGCCGATAAGGTGCGCAGATGCCACAGGTCTGATTGGCGGCGGCAGAGGAGGTGGAAGAGGCTTGAGGAGATGCTGGCGAAGGATCTTTGCGGTGGTTGGGGTATGTTGAGAGATCTGATTGGTAGTTGGTGGTCCATGTTGTTGGAACGATGGTCGCGATTTTCATTAGTGTAAAAGCTGAGTGTGGCCAAGGAAGAGAGACTGACTGCACATTTTATAGATCTTAGACGCAGTTAGAGTTGCATGAGGGGACCATTGCTCTTTGTCTTCATTGCAAACCAGGCTCTGGGTTCTCACATGTTCCACCGTGTCTGAACGTTGTGCGCATTTTCTAAAGAGTTCCGGGACTGGGCAAACAAAGGTCGCAGTGACTGACACAGAACCAGAGACCTGCTTTCTCCACGCATGTCGGACACACTTGAAATATCTAGAATCGTCATAACAAGGTCCCTCTGCCAATGCAATGTCAAAGACGCTGATCTCCCCTTGAAAAGTCACGTTTCTTTGTAGCATCGGGTGATGCAAGCCCCACTGCCGTTAGTGAAGGCTTTGGGTGACCAGCGAGAAGTTAGGCAGACTGGTGGCATTGAGGATTTGCCACCGGAGACTACAGCAGAATTGGGTAGTTATCTGCCGAATGCCTAGTCTTCTTCGTCCCATGATGAACTCCAGCTCCACTCCACGGTCTAGTTCTACAGGAGAAGCTAGGATCTTTTTTGCCGACCGTAGCACTCCGGGTTTGCAACAGCGCCTAAAGCGAGCCGCAATCTCTCCTTTCGCTTCTACGGGTCCTTCTCTAGCACCCAAATCTTGTTGATATCTGCGCTATAGCTTAGGCGCAGGATAATAGGCGCGACTGCTATTTGCTCCTGTGCAATTTCTTTCCTTTTCAAAGGCGCGCCTGCTGCGCTCGACCCTCTTCCCTCTTCAAAGTCTTCTGGGCTCACGTCTCTTTCGATGGGGCCATTAGCATGCATTAGCCAGGCTCTGAGCGTTTCCTTACTGATACAATGCAGCTGTGCTCTACCTCAACAAAGTAACGTTAGATCCTCGTTTCGTGGAGAAACATGGTTCTGACTTCTTAAGCAGCCCCGAACGATATCACGAAAAGCAACGACTACACAATCCAGCACTGCAGTCTACTCGCCCCACAGGTCCAAAACGTGCTGGAAAGTCTCTACGATGTTCTACCACTGGCTATTCGGGAAACCCATTACGGGGTAACAAGTGCACCATATCAAGCGTTTTTCAAAAATTCGTATTACGAGACGGTTGTCCATGGGATATTGAGCAGGGTCACGATCGGAGTGCCACTTCGTCTGGATTTCGGCAAAGAATTGCTAGTGCCGAGTCTCGTCTGCGCATTGAAACCAGACACAGTGATCATTCACAAAGCAGGCCAAGAATTTGACATCTATGATATTTGCAAAGGAAATCCGACTTGGGCGCTCATGTACTACCCGAAAACACCGAACATCTTCATCTGCCCTCTTTTCTTCCTGATGCCGACACTGCCAGCCGTAGGGAATTGTCCAACTGTCAACGAGGCTACGAACCAATTCGAAGGAAACTTTACTGCTTTTTGGCAGTCGCAGATGTACATGCTGCTGCATGAGATTGCTCATTTCTACATTGGCGTCACGGTTGAGGATAGCGTGGACGAAACCATGGATTGGAACTATGCGTTTTCGCTCTCGCCGATGAATGCGACTTCCAATGCGCTGAATTATGTTCTCTTTGTGGCCAGTAAGTGCATTTTCACCTGGAATGGTCGGTCTTATAAACGCTTAGTATCACCTCGTCGCTGACGCTTACCATTTAGGCGTCGACAAAGGATGCAGAGACTATCCACAGGCAGATCAGCCGCAGTCTTTCGAAGGTCGGAAGCTTGGAACGATGCTAGATCTGCTAAATACGTCTTCCCCAGACATCGTGGAAAGCCAGAGACTTGACTCTGTACGGGGTAGAGTGTCGCCGTATCATACCGATGCTACGAACCTAACGTTTGCGCCGAAGAATGAGACTTCCTTTAGATGAGAAACTCGTGGAATACGCGTGTGCGGTCCAAAGCATCTTAGGTTCGCGACACTTCTGCCCTGAGTATCGATGTAGCTGATGCAGATGCCGTCGCCTCTGTATATGTACATGTCATGGCCGGAGCGGAAAGAGAAAGGAGAGAGGAAATGCGCCCCATCGTAGGGTGGTATAGTATGAATTGTGAGCCATTGTAAGGTCACAGCATGTCCTGTGACAAAAAAAAGAGCGCTTACTCCGCTTGGTAGAGGGAACAGACTCCGAAAACATCTAGTTTGCTCAAATCTGATGTATTGGCCACGCGCTCCGCTCTGATTGCTCATCCTCCCGACAATATTTGACGGGAACCACTTCATGAGTTCTGAGCTATTAATGATTTCTTTCTCACATCACCATACAGTTATGGTCAGCATTAGCTAGATCCTGGATCTCAGAGTAACGGTAAAAGCAATGCGCCAAGCTGGGAGGCGAAAAGGAGTCACGTGATACAATCCTGAAACTTGTGACCGAGAATATCCGTACGTCGTACCTCAATCTTGCTCCAACTCTTGACAAAACAAATGCGTCTCCCTTTCAAAAGCTCACTCCTGTAAGTTCACAAACTGTCAGTGTTGTATTGCCTTGTTGATATGCGACATGAACAAAGGAAGCCACAATAGCCTTTGTCCTCTCATTGTCGAGTATCGCACCTTCCGATATCAACCCCTCGTACCTGAGCCCTTGGAAATCCTAGCACCAGTCTTCGGCCCCCAACCTCATCTCGAGTCCTTGTTCAAGACGTCATTACGTGCTTGGTGTTTTATCAAAGGATTCACCGCATCCTCAACGTCACATCGCGTTGCTTTTATCGCGCCACGCCAAAAAATCGCGCTCGCCATTTCACAACACGATTAACCGTTCTTTAAGGACAGATCCTCCATTATGCAGCCTGGAGAGTGCACCGCCTCCATCGGCAGCTCGGAAGACCCTACAACAACGCAAATCATCACGGATAACGCCGACTGGCTAGAAAAGATTACCCTTGACTCATCCGATTACATCCTTCCGTCAGCCGAGGTCAATTTCGAGCCCCCCGACGACACCGATTCAGCAGACGAAGATGCCGCTCTAGTCGCACACTTGTGGGACAGAGACCACGCCTCTGACCTTGAGGCGTACGAATGGAATTCCGACGACCTCGTGAGCGAGGCCTGCTCAGATGATGGAAACGCTTCTGAGGAGGAGCTCCCAAGGTTGGCCCGTAAGGACGAGTTTGAGCAGGGTATACGGCGAGAGGGGACTTGGACGAGGGAGTACCGCGAGCGGTGGGAGGAGCATCATCTTTTCTATAAGTCGAAGATACAGTCACGGTTGGAGACCTCCGGGGATGAAAAGGGGAATTATGAGGGGCATTCCTGTGTCTCGGAGAGTGCTTGGAGCGCTGCGGGGGAGCAGGGTTGGAGTACCCCTGCGACTTCTGGTGGTGGGGATTGGACTACGAATTGGACAGCAGGGGATGGCTGGACCGAATGGAAGAAGGAAGATCCAGAACCTTGGACCCAACCCGGCACTCCATCACCGCAAGATACGGATATCGTTGATGAGGACGGATCTGCAAGAACAAATGAGGATTCTGGTGAGCTGAATTCCTGGAAACAATCATCGGGGTTGGGACACCTTAGTAAGAGGACTGCTTACAAGGAATCACGCAGCACTCCAACCGTCTCCCACTTCTCCAAGTCTACCCATACCTTACCCACCACCCCTTCATCCTTGTACGATGGACCCACTATTGCAAACCTCGACGACAGCACCGCCCTTCCTCCTCCTACCTCCTCCCAACTCGCCAAAACAGCCCTTCGAAACCCAAAGCGGACCGCAAGATTCGGAGACCCAGAGCCTGTGAATGCAAAAGCAACCAGCTGCTCCGACCTCGCACTCGACGCAAAGATACTGGACAACTTTCTCGACACTTGCATTGAGAAGACACAAGCTCTGCTCGCAGATGCGAAAAAAGTCCTCAGTTTTCAGGCGCGAGTCGAGGAGATCTCGGAGCCTGTAGAAAATGAAGGACGGTCTTCTCACGTGCAGAAGGCCGCGCCAGGTGGCGAAGTGAGAGCACCGGGAGCGCTGTTGGAGGAGACTGTCATCACTCCCGCAGAGATCGTCAGGGTCGAAGGCTGGTGGAAGGTAAAGGGCTGCGACACGTGGACGAAAGCTCCTGGCCCGTGATTAGCAAAATGACGCAACCGTTCCCGTGCTGTAGTCCCTTGCGCTGAGAAGAAACGCCTAATATATTTGCCATCATAGTGCAGCGCGCAGGGCATTATTGGTTGTCTCGCATGCCAGCAGCGTATTTCCCATATACGCATTTTAGTTTCCACGACGATGAGTGGAAATTCCTTACTTCGGATACCTACAAAATAATTGCCGCGGCTCATTCTGCTCTTGTTGCGTGGTACGGCGTCTTTTGGAGCATAGCGGACGAGATCCCTAACACCGTCGAACGTCTTCCCCCCCTTTGTATATCTATTCTTACTGGATACGACACTCACCGCCATCCTCTCCTCCCCTCTCCTTGCGATCTCTCGACGCTGCTAGACCGCATACAAGCTTCTCAGGGAAGCCTACCATGGGCTCCAGTACACGCACCCATCGCCCATCATGGCCACGACAAAGGAAAAAACCTCTCACATACTCATTGAGAAAACGAAAACAAAAGAAAGAAGATTCATCTTTGTCTTTCGCAGAGGATAAAGACAACAACAAAGCGATGCCCGAATATCATTTGTGCGCGCGTCTTCACAGCACGAGTTTCTTTGTTAGTAATTCTAAAAATTGTCTCTTTTCCTGGGGCCAATGTTCAGAAAGAAAGAAAGAATTGCCCATCTCATTCGACATCTTTCCGACACATTCCAATCCTAGTACAATTCCCAATGCCCTCTCTCGCTATCTGCACTCTCACCCTACAGCAGTAAACAAACGACCGCAAAAGCAGCCACTGGCTCCTTCTCTGCTTCTCTTACCTCGCCAGATAGAACGTCCACGCAGGCCGTGCCACACCACCCATTCAAGCCGAAGCAAACCAAACCCTACAACCAACACCAAAATCAAACCCAAAATCAACTCCAAATTCAAATCCACCACCATGCCCCACCCACACCCACCCCTCCCCTCGCCCCTCTCCCCCCTCCCACCACGCCCCGAATCCCTCGGCCCCCTAAGCCAATACCACAACCCCGCAACCGCCGATACTTACCCTCGACACGCAGAAGAACCAACCGTATCGCCCCTCGGACCCGATTCGCCCACGCTGGGATACCTGTCGCCCGTTTCGATCGTGGGTCCGGATCCACGTTTGGATAGACACGGAGTAGATGAATGGGGGTTTAGGGCGCCGCGTGCAGATGCAGAGGAAGCAGTAGAAGAAGAGCATCCCGGTCGCGACGACACGCCGCATATGCAAGAAACGTCTCGAAACCCACTCGCAACGCCCCGCCCAACGACGTTGTACCTCGCCGACCACGCCCCGCACCTCGTGGCGCCCGCGCCGACCGCGCGGCCGCATTGTCGGAACGGGGCGGGTGGTCACGAGGGGCGCTCTGGGGCGGGGTTCGAGGATGTGGAGTTGCGGGGGGGTCGGAATGCGAGGGGTGGGGGGGACGATGTGGAGGGCCAAGGAAGGATGAGGACGATAGCGGGGGTTAAGGGTAAGGGCAGGAGCCGGAACTGTCTCATTGGGTGGGTGTTTGTGCTCGCGCTTGTGGTTGCGGGAGTTGTGTTTGGGGTCTTGGTGAGGGGGGCGGATAGGCCGGGAGGGGTGGCGGGGTGAGTTGGTGGAGATGGGGATGGGGTTGGAGATGGAGATGTGGGTGGGGTTCGGGTTGAGAGTTCTGTACGTTTCGGTAATTTGAGGATGGTGTTTTGAATGGGATTCTGTATGGACGGAAAGCTTGGTTTAGTAGTCTTGGGTGGATGGACTCTCTTTTTCTTTGATTTCCTCTGTACAAAAAGAATCAGACAAATGCTTTAGACTCGATGTGGTTTCCTGGAGATATGAGACATAGAGATAAACCATGCCTGGTTCATGTCTGGCTGCCGCTTCGCTCACCAAAGCTCTAAATCTGTCCTTCTCAAGTCAAGACACCAAAAATCTCAAGGATGCCAAGGAAGACTGTAGACCGGGAGATAATTGCACAATAGAGATACTTAGTCGTCGGCCGACTTATTTCTGTTAGCTTAGTGCCTGAGGACTCTTCCTCCAGCCTCTATTGCTAGGAGTTACTCGCAACCTCTTTCACCATTAGTGGAGTTGCACGCGAAAAAAACCTCAAGGTGTGGCCAGTGAGATCCCTCATACTGGGGAAAGTTGAAAGCGTTCGGAGACGTTTGCTCGAGACCATGATGCTGAGGCTGCTGACCGAAGTGTCCGCCGTGGCTAGGAAAAGGGAGCGTGTGAGTCTATCAAGGATGAATGCGCGAAGAAGAGGAGCGGTTGAGCCCGAGATTACAGAATCAGCGCGGAGTACTGCAGCGTACTACTGATAAAGCTTGGGAGTATTGGGAGGAGCACAAGTGGTTTGGCGAAGGCCGATATCATACCAAGAGATGTCTTGACCGGCCAGAACACAGGCGGAATGGAGGGCGCTGAACGCACAAATGAAGGAGAATCCAGCTCTTACGGGAGGCAACTTACTGGCTTGGGAAAAACAGAACAAGATGGTATGGATTCTATCATGGGTCGTTGGAATGGATCCTACCCAACACCTTTGGGGCCAGAGATCTTTTTCTGGACGGACAGAGGATGGGGCTGCTTGCTTCGGAAGCCGGCTATGGTGTCGCAAACGCTTTTGGAAGGATCGAAAAGTATTCACGGACTTGTCAGTCTAGTGTGTAAATGTGATATGATCGATTATATCACCGTGGTAGGAGAGGCTCTGGAGAAGATGAAGGAAGAATACGGCGTGGAAGACAACTGAATAAAATCATCGGCCTCAACAGGTCGTGAGCGCCTGCGAATCCATTGCATCAGCATGCAGCTCCCTCTCTGGTTCACTCGCTTTACTGGCTTATGACCCCAAGGCCCCTTCTTGCTTTCTACCTTTCCGAACATGGTTGCGTCTAAAGGTTTTACAAGAAGACCTTGGCATCTCGATTGCCGGCTGCGATGAAACTCCTTTGGGTGGTGGGAGGGTAAGTATGTTTTAAGGCATGCCAAATTTCATTTTCTGAAACAAGCCGTTATAAAGAGCATTTTTAGAATATAAACTTTATAGTATCTACGAAACGACGTTATATATTAGATTTAATAAAGATCTCGTTAGATTAACGCTATATACGTACTTTTTTCTATCGAGAATTTAAGATTATACTAGTCTTATTACTTTAAATTACTCTTTTCTAATCTTCTATAGTTTAATTCTTATATTATAAAGTAAATTAATAACGTACTTTTATTAAGGCTTCTATAAGAAATAATTTTTTAATAATTTTATAGATTTAAAAATTGTTATGGCTAAGTACTCGTAGTATTATTATAGATAAGATCTCTTATTTAATAGTAAGTATAAGAGAAGTCTTCTTATAACTATAGCGGTTTTTTTATATAATATCTAGAATTATACTCTTAAGTATAGATATAATAATTAAGAGATATTCGAATCTAGATTTATTTATAATATATAATATTAAGAGCTTTTTAGATATAATAGGATTATATCTTCTATTATAAGCTTATTTCTAAAGTCGATTAATAGTTTAATAAGATATTTTAGTAATTATAGTAATAATTTTAATAGTAATTCTAGTCTTAATTAAAGTGTCAGGACCAGTATAGGTGCGATATCAGTATAGGTGAGGTAGAATAGGATAATAAGGCTACCGAACTATGTAGGTGGGAAGGAGGCATGATATAGTAGGAGATGCCTCCGCCAAGGCCCGCTAGCCATAGGGCTGAGGGCTGAGTAGTGTGTCAAGGGTAAGCTCGTAACACTACCCCCCTCTCAATAGCCATGGCCCCCATGGCTGGTAGACCGGAGATGCACGCCCACTACTTGCCTTGTGTCTCCAAACATCCATAGTCCCTGTGAGCCTTGACTGAAGAAGATTTGCCGAGGTGTAGTGGTATTGCCAAGCCGCATACTGGTCTTAACTGTGCCATACCTGCCATATTACCCTACAAAGATCCCGGAGATATAGTCCACATCTTGCCTGCGTACCAGCAAGATTCTCCGAGTTCTTCTCCTTATCTAGTCTTCTTACCATAATCCTTCAATAGAATTAAAGAAAATCCAACGTATATATTCACCTCCAACACCTGTTGGCGGCCTAGCCTAAGAGCTTCACTATAGATTTACCCTATGTCTCCCATGCTCTTACCATCAAAAATCCCTTCTCCGTTCCATCTCCTTTGCCTTAACTTATAGCCATCTTACTTCGTAGTGCTATCTATTACATCCATCCGCCTTATAAGCCTACCGCTTCGACTGCCAATACCCCGTAGGCTTATCTATCCTAAGCTATCATAGCGAGTACTCAGCAGCTAATAACCTGACTGACATAGACCACTTCCATAACTCAAGCACTTACCGATTCGTAGGATTTGGTAGAGAGGTAGGTGATAAGAATCGAATATATTAAATGCCATTTGATAGCAGGCTTACTATGTATGTTGTCGACATGCTTAATAAAGAGGTCGAATCGTAGTCGTTTCGGGGCTATTCCCGTCGCCATTGTAGCAGGCTCACTATGGTGTGGGGGTGTTTGTGACGATTTCTTTCTACTATCAATTCGCTAGTCGTACGAATAGTCCCTATATCTTATTTATCCCTCGCCCACAGTTTTGGCGAGGCCGTTCCGCTGTCACACTGTGCTCTTTGAAATCGAGTTACCCGTCTAATAGGCTTACTCAGAGATACGATGACTCAACTTGGTTTCTTACTAAAGCCCCTACCAGCGCTTTCTTTAAATTCGTCCGCTAATTCGAATGGAGTGTGTTCGATTACGTTTCTCTTCGCCGGGTATACGAAGAAGCCTTATTATAATATTAAGACTAGTATAGATATAATATTAGTATAGATAAGATAGATTAAGAATAATAAGGCTATCGAACTATATAGATAGGAAGAAGATATAATATAGTAGGAGATGCTTCCGCCAAGGCCCGCTAGCCATAGGGCTAAGGGCTGAGTGATGTTAGGCTGGCTGTCAGAATAAGTAATAGTCTTAACGCT